ACTCTGCTACTGTTTGCACCTTCACCTTGTGACCATTTCTAGATGTTTGGGTTTACAAAGATAAATCTATGCGCTCATAACTAAATTAAAGCCAAAGTTCTCCTTTTTCTCTGCTCCAGCTATTGAACTACCGTGGCTCCTTTCATGAGAAAACATCACTACATCTTCAAGTCAAACATCAGTAAATGTGCCTTTTGTTAAGGGCTAGCTGGACTGGATCACCGCAGTGCCCGAATGGAGAAAAGAAAGTCAACACACTCAGTCTGTGGAGAGCAAAGGCAAAACCCGCAGTGAGGCTTCTACTCTACACACAGTTACAGAAAGCACACATATTTTTTTATTTTCCAACCAGATGGCAAAATCAAGTTATTGCACATTTTCTGACTGAGGAATGAGATTCGACAGGATCCTGAAGACGTGAAATGGAGCTCATCAACCCACCAAACAGACCCGCTGATATGTGAAGGTCTGCTTGGATTAGCCAGATAAGAGCAGCTGGGTGTGTGTATGTGCGTGTGTGTGTGCTGTGGCCAGTAACATATTGTAACTTTGGTGAGCAGAAGAACAAGCACAAGGCTGGTGCAGTGCAGCAAAATGTGGAAAAGGGGCTGGGTCAGGTTTGGGTTAAGTTTGGCCCTCAGTAAAATATTCTTCAAGCCTTAACAGATGTTAAAAATGTGAGAGACCCCAAATATAACATGTAACGATAAACTCTTACAGATTCCATACACAAGCAACTAGGGTCCTGACTCTCAAAATCAGAAATCTCACAAACCTCTTGCAATCAAACTTGACTTTAGAGTAATGTATGGCAAACATGGCTGATGACGGGCAGGAAGAACTAGCTGTTAGTTTTTGCACTACTTTTCTACAGAAAATTTACAAAGAAAACCTAAAAAACATGGACAAAGTCATGAGGACAGCGTAAACATGGACTGTACATGACAGTACAATCTGGAGGTGAATACATTTAGAGCTCTGAGACCTGCAGGACCACTGGCGATCCTCAGGGTTCCCCCGTCTTGTTGAAATCACTGTGCCCAGTAGTGATGCTCGGGTCGACTTGACCTGTGGGTTGACACACGTGTCGATCGGTTTGGGTAAGCTTGTTTAGCAAATATCGCAGGTTTCAGGTGGGTCATTAAGTGACCAAGCAGCATTCTAAGTAGGTTATTAATAACTTTCAGAAACACTGTACAATAGTCCACCTTCCACCTTCTTTACCCAGCTTTCTAGCCCCTTTTGCACTGCCTCTTCAAAGCGGAAAAATGGTGCTGCTTTTCCACCTCGCCATGCTGCTTATAAAGTATGATCGCAGAATTGGGGGAAAGAGTGGTCTCGTCTTTAAGCCGCCACGGGAGGTAGTGACATCGCTGAAATGGTGTCTGTATTAATGGGACAGCTGGCAGGACGGGATCATGGGCAGGACAGGTCTTACATTTCGACGACATGTTACGTGTGTGACCCACTGCAGGAGATTTAAAAACTTAGCTACTAGCAGTTAGCAGCTAACTCAAGGAGGAAGAACAGCAGCCAAAATGTCAGCAAATAAGGAAAACAATGAGGTCCAGGAGCTCCTTACCCTCTGAGCATATGATGAGATCAGCCGCCATATAACAGGAACAGTAAATGATTGTTGTTCCCATGTTTTGCCATTGTTGTTATTTATAAAGTGCTGCCAATGTGTTTGTTATATATCACACTAGAGGCCGACACTGTTGTGTTACATATCATGGCCATCATGCCTCTTTTGATTTCGTGATGCCAGCATGCTGTCTGTAATCACACACTGGAGTGGAATGATGCCACCATTGTTTGGTTCTGTGTAGCGGCCCTATAGTGTGATCCCTGTGCTTCTGTCTTTGTCTCGCTTTAACACATAGCAAGCAGCCTTATCATCAGTGCTGCTGAGCTCAGGGTTTTTGTTATCTGGTTTCTGACCAGGAAGATCTGTTTAAGTCTGACATATTTAAATATCTCCAGTCATAATCCCCTGGTAAAACTATTTCCCTCTGAGAATATGTAGGCCTATCAGCAAGCAAGTGTCTCTCTGTCCTCACTGAATCCATTAAATATGCAGTTCTGTTAGATCATGTAAATAAACCAACTAGATATCAGCTGTGTGCTTGAGATCCCACTGAAGACGTAACCACTTTACAGATGTGTGAGTACTTGTTGTCTTTTTATGTTTGTATTTTTAAACAAAGAACACCTGTTTTTATGTTGTGCTATTTACTGGAAATGACATACAATACAGCCAGTATCAAGTATGTTGTTATTAGTAATAGTCATTACCAGAAATGTGCAGATCAGGTTCGGGTGATTAACGCATATGTTTGAAGGTTGGGCAGAGCAGTTTGGCTGGTGTGAGTTGTAAAATCCTTGACCTGCGCATCACTAGGAACCAGGATAGACTTGCGAGCAAATCGGGGGATGTTAAATACACTATTTAGTAAGTGCAATTTCATGCCAAAATATTCATCAAGATTGCACTTTGTTTCTCAGATTAATAGCCATCCTGTGTTGGCAAAATCAGGGTGAGCTCTGACAGGATGCTAGAGATGTGAAATGGAGCCCAACAGCCCACTTAACAGATGCACTGATCTGTCTTGGAAGAGACTGATGAGCTGTCAGACTAGCTGTGTGTATGTGTGCGTGTGTGTGCGTGCATGCGTGCGTGTGTGTATGTGTGTGTGTGTGTGTGCGTGCGTGCATGTGTGCGTGCGTGCCTGCGTGTGTGTGTGTGTGTGTGAGCTGTTCTGTTTTCCTTATTAGTAATCTCTTACAGCTGGAGGTGACAGAGAATGTGCTACAGGCCCATAAAGCTGACAGCTCCTAGATTACAGTAACTAAGAGCAAATGAACACATCAGGCGCTTCATAATAATATTCTTCTGCAGTGTCAGATCAGTTTAAGCTCTTTAGGCTGTGGTACTTGTTCAGTTAACAGGCATTAATCTTCTGAGGTATTGTTCTAGTATAAAGCTGCAGACTTAATTTCTATTGTTGTGAATTAATAGGAGATTGCAGAGAAGAGTGCCTAACCTTGGCATCACAACTCTCATGGTCCAAGCCTGGCATGAGCCTGCCCCAAGCATAGGAACTAAGTGACAACCTTCAGGACTGGAAAATGAAGCCAGTGCAGAGGTGCCAAAAACTACAGTTCCTTGATTGGCCACTTGAGGCAGGCTCCAGGAGAGACAATCCCCATAGTTCCTCGTGTTATAATTCCCAACTTTACAGCAGAAATAAACATGTTTACAGCCTGCTACAAGAAACAGTTGTGATTTCTATAGTTAATTTCATCATTCATGACAATTGTACAAGGGCAGAATTTTTTATAAAACGCATCCATTAAAAGCTATTAAGGCTTCAGGTTATGCATAATTAAGGGTGTGATTGCTTTGAGTGACATGTGGGTGTCACAAGTTGCTACATGGCCACAGCATTGGTTAGGTTACATAACCATGGCGTAACCCCAAATTTACAGAATGTTGGTGTAGCTGTTGCTCTCTCAGTGTTCAACATTTGGTTCATGGTTGTATACAGAGAACTGGATACAGTGTTTGAGGCAGGGCCCTGATCATTCCTATAAATGTTGCTCAGTGGTGAAGGAAGCTAAAATAGTATGACATCCAGGGTATAAAATTACCCAGATATTCTGCATTATTGGCCCCATAGAGCAGGCGCACTACAGACTTTTGCAAGCCAAGCGGCTAACTTTCAGTTCAGTGCTCCTCTAGCTTGAATGGGGATAACAAGACTTTATAATTGTTATTGGATCGAAATGATCAATTCGTCAGTTTGTATTTCTGACGAGGGCTTTGTGCATGAAGACGTGATAAATGGACCGTGCTTATACAGCCAAAATTGCTTCAAATCATACAGTAAACACCTTTACATTTTGTATGGATAGTGACATGAATCATTTCATGCGGGTTGTGGCACTACTAAAAAAAAATGCATCCACTGATTTACAGATGTCTCTTTCACAATGTAGGTCTATAGGAAAAAAGTCTTTTTAGGCCCCATGGCATCTGGTGACAGACCCCAAAGTTGTAATTCCACTGGTTGCCCACTATGAAAATTGGCTCCAAACACAAGCACACTTCCTGGGGGCCTAGTTTGGTTGGACTAAAAGTCCCTCTGAAGAGCAAGAAAAAAATTAGCATTAGCATTATAACAGTCAACCTAGACTGTAATGCACTTTGCCAACCAAGCTAGCAGCTAGCGTTCGGGTTAGCTCCAACTTCTCATCCAAATATGGTCACTTTTTGCTTCAGAAATCCAAGTTAGCAGCATTCAAAATGCCAAACTCGAAGCTTCAAAGGCAGGAGTCCAAAAACTAATGAGTAATGTCACACTGGCTACACCCATTATTTCTTTTAAAGTCTATAATTCAAGTATGAAGCCATCTGTTAAAGCCCCTCTCCATGATGTTTTTTATGATGATGTATGGCCTGAATCAGTACATGTTCAGAGTTATGTCAAGTACTTGGATCCTGGTATACTTGTTTGCAGGTCAAATCATTTTGTGGCATGTAGACCTAATTTCTGTTTTGAATTGCTAACAACATTCTTTTGCTTTGTTTCTGATAAATAGAGTTTATCTTTAGTGAAACTGTGCAAACAAATGTGGCCAACTTGTATTTGCAATTTCGGTGAGCAGTAGTCTAAACGAAATCCTGGTGCAATGAAGCACAATCTAGAGACAAAGCTGATGCAGGCTTCTGGTTAGCAAGTGTAATTTTGCTATGCAAGTGCAATTTCATGCTGAAATGGTCATCAGAATTGCATTGTGCTTCTGACGACGGCTTTGTCCATGAAGACAAATGGACTGTGCTTATACAACCAGAATTGCTTCAGATCATACAGTAAACATCTTTACATTTTGTATGCATTTTCAAAGCACTGCATGCAACTAGTGTGAAGTATTTTTAGAAACCTCTATAAAGGGAAAACAATGAGTGCTGAGTAAGGGTGAGAAACTGCTTCTCTTACCGATAGTGGTGATAACAGTCCCGGCAAAGAAAAAGGAGGAACTGATGTCCCAGAGGCTCGTCTGATTGGATCTATTTCCTGAAGGGTTCACACCTGCTCGGACTGCTGAAACAACTTGCTGGAGAGGAAAGTCAAAGAAGAAAAAGAAGTTAGCACATAATGCGCTGTGTCCCAGTGGGAGTGTGGTATGAGGTGAGCTGAGGAATGAAAGACAATTAGTGGTGTGCTTCAATTTTCTTTGGGAATAGATGACAGCCGAGATAAACATCCAACCAAAACCAATTTGGAGTTGTGAGAAACAATGAGAGGTATCTGTCACCTTCCTAAATGCATAAGAAAGGTGTACATTTTAAACACTCCTCACAAAAACAGCAAAGCCTGTCACAGTTATATGGACTAAAAGGACGGTCTTTAAGATTTGGCACTTCTAAAAGAATAATTTGTCCGTATAGAGTGTAATACATTATGCACCAAGTCATACAGTGTTTCTCAACACTTAAATTCATGTTATAACCCAGCATGTTTGCTTGAATATATGTCCACAAATTGCATATCCAGTACTCAGGCTGCAGGGTCTTGGTCAAACATTTTAAGACACTTCACGGACTGATTGTATGACTTTGAGTTTGACTTTGATTAGCCCCGTGACTATGGCTACGATATGGTCATCAGTCGTGCTCAGGTGATTGGTTGACTCTGAGTGTGTGCATGTGGAAGAGCGCTAGAGCTCTAGGTGTGACACGAGTCACAGCTAGGTGTGACGAGCCCATTAGACACCAGCCGGCTGTACAGGAAACGGATCAGCCATGTGTGCTCCCACTCAGCGCTGGGCTCTCATGACAAGAGACTGGAGGGGAGTGAAGCCACCAGCTGGAGGGAAAAAACACACCACTACACGATTTTCACACCCACTATCACCTAAACATAGACATGAGGAGCAGTGAAGCGTAGAGCCACAAATGCAACAATGTGCATCCACACTACAGATACACTGAGTTTGTACCGAAACCTGTATACAGATAAAAACATTATATAAAGTCAGTATCTGAGCTTTAGAACCAAAGATACAAGGCCAGAACTGTAGTGAAGGAATCAAACTGAGTTTATCTGCTCTAACCTGAGCTGCAATCTTTAGTCTGGCTCCTTAGCTTACAACCTACATTAGTAACTGAGCATTACCTCCAAAGCCATTGGTACATCCACTACGTTAATTTGTGGGGTAACAGGTAATGAAAAACAGCCTGTTTATGACGAACGCATCCACTGTGAGGTATTCGCCCACTGTGTGGATGCTGTTCATGGATGCTTCCTGAGCTACATCACAGTTTAGGACAAGGATTCTCAACTTGCTTTGCCCTGGGGCTGCTTTTGCAAAATAATAGGATGCCAGGTCCAGTAAATAAACAAACATTAATGATATTTATCAAATAAAATGAGTAAAAGAGGCAAATCCAGCCACATGAGCCCCCCACAGGAGGAGTTTCTAGGGTTTGAGGACATATGGGGTTTGGCCGGGACATCTGTCGAGGGGTCTGGGATACACTTTATTTTGGGGTTTCTTCGCTATTGCCGGCTGTAAGTTGAGGATCCCTGCATAAGGCTAACATTGACAACTCTGTCCTGCTCCTTGTTGGGTTTATGGAAGTTTATACTCCAGCAGTCTGAGCAATATAACTGCAGGTAACATTACAGTTGCCAGAAACATCTGTCTGTATTTCCTGTTTTATTTTGACACTCACCCTTGTCTCTCGTTTCAGGTACTATACTTCCTGCCCCCTTGTTTTTCCCTCCTGTGTGATTACCTGCTCTGCCCTGATTAATTTCCTCCTCCCTTGTGTATCATCCTTGTGCTGCCCTTTGTCTGTTACCAGTTCGTTCTCAGTTATTTGAGTGTGTGTTCTAGCCTTTTTCCCTAGTGTTCTCTTTAGCATTTTTGACCTTGCTTTTGCCTACTGCCTTTGGATACCTTTGTTTGTGTTTTTGGACTGATTATGTGTGCACCGACCCCCTTTTGTCTCAGTAAAAAAGACCTTGTGTTTTTGAGTCCTTTGTCTGAGTCCTTTCTTTGTTGGCTCCAGTCTGATACACCGTTTTTGTTTGCGATTTAACTTAATCCTCAGACTTCAAGAATTATATCATGTGTGCAGCCACAAAGCAAGGCTGCCAACTTCTCAATTTAGTCTGGAGTGAGAGAGTAAAATTACTTTAGATCTGACATGCCATGGTGAGGGTCTGAATAGGACTCACTCAAATCATTGCAATTCAAAATTTCAGCAAACCTCTGAAGGAAAAGATTTTCTGAGTTTAAACATGAGGACATTTTGTGTTACATTCTATTTTGAGGTGATTTTCCCATTTATTTCTCCAAACAAATTTTAGCAAGTCCAGATATGAGGAAATTATAAATAAAATTATTATAAATGTTATTTGGGGCAGCTGTGGCTCAGAGGTAGAGCGGGAGAGCACCAGTTGGAAGATCGGTGGTTTGCTCCCCCAGCTCCGCATGTTGACATCTCCTTGGGCAAGATACTCAACCCCAAATTGCTCCCGCTGGCTGTTCCATTGCTGTGTGAGTGAATGGTTATTGAGTAGCAGGTTGCACCTTGTATGGTAGCCTCAGCCACCAGTGTGTGAATGGGTGTGAATGGGTAAATGTGACATGTGAGTGTGAAAGCACTTTGAGTGGTCGGAGGACTATAAAAAAAGCACTTTACAAGTGCGGTCCATTTACTATTTACCATTTAATTTGAGCTAAATTTCCCAATAATTTGGAACATGAATTTTTACATGGTCATAGTGAGGGTCATCCTGAACTAGATAACTGAAAATGAAAGCAAAGTTATTTATGAGAGTCTAAAAATGAGGGGATTTTCAGTGTGTTGCAATATAACATTAATGTTCAGTGTGGTCACAGGAACAGTTTGAGCAGGAATATATTGCACTAATAAACCTATTATGGAACTGTTTTATTAAGATAGGACTTCTTTATCAGCGGAATAGAAAATGTGAGAGGTGCCGTAGCATTGTTCTTACCTCTCATTAGTCCGACGTCCCATTGTTCCATTATGTGATTATACTAGGCTATACTGTATTTGTGTACCATAGAGGATCAGCAACGCAACAAAAGTAGGCTACTGGTCGAGATACAAGTGTCATTGAGAGGAGAGAATGAAACACCATAACCTCTTGTTATTAACTCTGGGGTCCGGGTTGTGTGGGGAGCTCTCCGCAGTGCTGAACGGCTCCCGGCGGGCGTATTTCTGCCTTGATGGTCCACCGCGACCGGCTCTGGGTCAGCTGGGAAAGGCTTGAGGCGAAGCAGGCTCACAGCTTATGTGTTTGTCACTTTCTTTTTCATTTTAACCCACACCATGATCTTTTCCTGACCCTAACCAAGTGGTTTTTGTGCCTAAACCTAACCAGACCTTAACCACAGGGCATCATGATGATTTCGGAACAACGGGACTTCGGAACAATGGGTTTAATATGGTCAGAACAATGGGATGTCGGACCAATGGGCTGTTGGACCAATGGGCAGACCCCATGTGAGAAACCCTATTTGGCTGCTCCAAGTTCAGGTACCGTAACAGCATGAAAAGGCGTGCATCAAAATCCAAGCAGCTAGCTTGATCGGCTTCAGTGCTGCTGTTATGCTGTGTTGCTCTGTCCTGTTTGTCCTTACACTGTCAGTTTCCTGTTTTCAACATAATCAGTTATACATTTGTCTTTTCTTATGTGAGAAAATGGATGTGTGGTGTGACAGTGAGTGAAAAGTGTCAACTGCATGAGTGTCCTGGTCATTGCGTGAGAGTTGTCAGCCGCGCATCAGGCATATTCAATTCTCCGTTTACAGGGTTCTCCTTTTAAAATGGGTCTGACCCATTGTTTCAAACTACTTGAAATTCTGAGCAGTAAGACTGCTCCCCATTTTTCTTGTAAACTGCATATCTACTGAGCTAAAATGGAAAGTTTAACAGCTACTGTAGTGTGGGACGCTTAGCAAAATGTCATTTCCCCTGAACGCTGGATTAATCTGATCCCACTAGGTTTTTAACAACAGACTCTATCACTTCACTGCACTAAGACAAAAAGTTTCTCGGCCCAAGTGGCTCCTCATGATACAGAATCATTACTGAGACAAATGAAAGAGAAAAGCTTTGCGACCTCAGGGGAGCAGCAGACTCCGCTACAGAGGCGATACTAATAAATTGCAGAGGAATACTTTACCAGACTACAGCTTTTATTCAATCATGTATATGTGTTTTTTTTGACAGTGTAGAACAATATAAATGATGTAATAATCCTTGTGTGGGGCACCTTAATATATTTAAGACTTGTACCTGTGGGGGGTAGTTCTTTAAGATGATTTCCATTATTTATATTTTGTATCAACACACCTCCAGGAACAGAGCAGTAATGCTACAATAATCATGTACAGCATAAAACACTGCCCTGCACAGTCTTCCTGAACCAGCACTGTCAGCTTTTTCTGCACACGCACACACACACACAGTTTAGGGTCACTGCAATGTCAGGGCGTTGTGATTCATCATCCTTAGCGAAACTGAGAGAGCTTTCATTAACCTACGACTGTTGAGTGTGATAAGGCAGTACAGATCGAGTGTGTGAGAGCTGAAATGGATAAATAATGGATAGGAAAGTGAGGGAACAGGCACTAACGTAATGACACAAGAGTTAACATGACATGATGGGTCAGAGGGTGGAGAGATATGGCTAATGGCAGTGAATGGTGCTGTGACATAGTTTTACTTTGAGGTTTACAGGGAGCTGTGTGTTGCTTATCCACACAGAGACACAATTCTCTGCCGTAGAGATGTCTGCCTGCTCTCCAATATAATGGAACTAGATGGCACTCGGCTTGTGGTGCTCAAAGTGCCAAAAAAATACTTTTGAAAACCTTAAAAACAATGTCTCTTTCCAGAAATCATGACCTGGTTACTCAAGATAATCCACTGACCTTGTTGTGAGCAGTTTCATGTGGGAACTATTTTCTTTCAAACGAACTACACCTGCTAATTGTATCACAGTACAGACGGATGCGTGCATCTACTGCTAGCTCATGTAGCACCATTGAGCTAGCTAACATTACAGCTCAGC